TTAAATGAAATATGAGATGTAGCATTGGGATGTGATAGTACTGCTGTAGATCAACAGCCATCAATCTGTGTTACTTAATTTGTCCCTGGCTCAGCTGTTCACTGTACTTGGGACTTTTTTGCTGTTTGTTTCATTTTATTTTCCTCTGAGATAAATGAAGACAAAAAGAAGGGGCCAATTGTTCTTGACAAATAGAAGTAATTTTTAAAAATATAACCGTAAAGGATATTCTACATTTTCAAATGGTGCTTTTTTTCTGACTTTCACAGCACTTTCACAGAATCATAGTTAATTTATTTCACTGCATGTATATTAAACATTCTTATATTTCATTGCTTGTTACTCTCATTTTCAGATCAACTTCACGGGCACTCTTTAAATGCTGTAAAAAAATTCTGTTGGAATAAATGGTTGGGCTTTTTTAGCTAAATACTTAGAAACATATTATTCCTCATCTGGGCATGCCCGTAACACTTAGGTTGCTTTATTTATCTTGGGTGTTCTGGGGATACAAGGTCTTTGTTGCTCTAAGTGTCTAAGGAAGCATATGTTGTAATTGTTTGACATCTTGAACATGGATTAGGTGGGTGGCTGTATGTAAGCAAGCTAACTTGAGTTCTCAGAAGATCAGGTTTTTGACGTGTGTCAGCTTACTTTCTCTTCTAAGTAATGTATGTGAAGAAATATCTGAAATATGCATGGGATAGTGAATAATAATACACTGTTAAATCAGTAGAGAATGTGACTCCCCACACAGTTTCAGCAGCTTTAAAATTCCACTATGCAAGAAGACTGGGATCAGTGTGGGGGACACTACAGCACTGGCTGGCTTCCTCTGCCATCCGCTTACAGCAACGGTCAGATGGTGAGGTCAGGGTAGGAGGGTTAAGCAGGCAAATGGATAAAGTGGCTCTTTCTGACTTTCCTTGTTTACCATGTTTTAACTGAGAGAATTCAGAGATGACTGCCCCGAGAGGGTTTCTTAGCTTGCAGGAGGTTGTCTTTGTTGAACATACTGCAGGGTACCAGGATTTTGCCTTTGAAGACTGCCAACATGAACTTGCTTTTGGCAGAAAGTGCTGGTGGAATGTCAGCCATCTCCCTGTCCTAACTGGCAGGGCTTGGAAGATCAGGTCAGGGCTTAGGCATTACAAGAAACACTAATGTTTCCGTGGACTTGAGTTTGGATTAATAACTTAAAGGGCCAAATGTTCAAAGGGCTGGCTTCCAATTTTACACTGCTGGTTGAGTACAAGTACAGAATTATGGGCAGAAAATCACAGATAATTTTTTTCCAAGCTGACCTTTCTGAAAAGGAGGCAGCAATTATTGGTATTTGGGCACTGTTTCAGCAATGTTTTTAGGTGTTGTTAATGTAATATTTTCATTATATTTCTGCTGGACTATTGATTAAATATGCAATTACTTAAGAAAAAGAAATTTATTATTGTAATGAATAATATCTTTTTGGACTGGTACTTGTGCTTTGCACAAGCATGCATGGATATTGCTTTTGTGTAATTATTGATAAAACTTCATTTCTTTGTGTGCTGATGTTGATCTCTTAGAGTGGATGGGTAATGCCAAACGTGTTTATACATTGTTGCTTCAGTATCTAATCACTTTCCAGTTTGTAATATGCTTATTCTTAAAGCACCTGGCAGGTTGATCAGTCCTCTTCCCCTGTTGTCTGTGGAAGATTCTGAGACTTTGAGAACTTGTATGTCCTAAATTTCACCTGACGTTTCAAAGCCCAGTGTTGTATGGTGGTTGAGTGCCTCTGAAGGCTCAGAGCTAGCCTACAGAAAATACTAGATGCAGAACTTGGGTGGAATTTGAGCTACCTCAGTCTAGCCACTTGCTAACCCAGTGTCACGCCTTAAGTCTTTTGACAGTATGATTTAAACTCAGCTCCTCTGAATCCTAGACACATACACCAGCCTTTTTCTTGATAAACCTATTTCATTAGGCATAACTAAACTAACTGCCTAGATTGCTTGCCTAGTGGCACAACTCTGTGGTATTTTGACCCAGTTTTCCTCTGAGAGCACTGAAGGAACAATCCTGAGCTTCCAAAAATAACATTTGATAGACTAAGAAGAGCTTACTTCATTATTTATTTCTGCTTTGCTGTAGCCCAGCTCCCAATGACTCCAGTGGAAGTCAGCTTATAAGAGTGCTTAGCACTGAAGCAGATCTTCAGACTTCATAAGATATCCATGGAACTGTAACAATGTGCACTGTAGCAATTGCAACTCACACTGATATATTTTAGAGCTTAGAAATTTAAAGCAACTTAAGAGATTTGGACATTTGGTTCCCATTAAAAGGAGCCCCCAACCCAGTTTTGGAAAACTGAACAACTGTGGTTCAAAGAATGTAAGGGAGAGTCATGAGGGCACTCTAGCAGTTAGGGCCCCGGTGCGTTTATCCAGTCTTTCAAAGAAAGCCTCTAAAATTACATCTTGGGAAATTGAATTAGTTCCTTTATTTTTACTGAACAGCACCTACTTCACTGAATGATGTAGCAGAGGTGGCTGCTGCTAAGACTAAGCAAACAGGACTCAGGATGTAGCTCTTCATACTTTTCCTTGATGACTTCCCCATAAACTGTGAAAATCTCTAAATTTTGCTTTTATTCTTTTATTTCCCAAGTCATGTTAATAACTGAAAATACCATAGAATTGTTTAATTTTTTCACTCCTAACATTCCCTGTAACTCCAGCCATGAACTTCGGTGGAGCAGCAGAGGAGCATGGTTAACTTTTATAGAGAGCGTAGAATAGTTAAGGTTCTTGCTTCCGTTTATTGGTATTCTCCTTATGGCTAGAAGGACAAAGTTGGAACAAACTTGTCTCCGTTGTATGAACTGAAGTGTTACATAAGATTTTAGTTTTGTACATCTTGTTGGTCTGTTCATAGCTTGTGCCACTGCTGGGATTGGCCTCTTCAAGGAACTGAACTGTACAAACTGGTCCTGTGCTATGAGCCTGTGAGCCTTCACAGGATACTGCGAAGGAAACGTGCTGAAAGTCAAAAGCAGTTGTGCTGTCCTGGTCAGCTCTGTTTCTCCCCTTGTCTATGTCACCTCCAGGTGACAGGAAACTTATGTCTGGAAATGGTATCAGGGACATTTGTGAATAGTAGTGACTTCTGTATCTACTCCACATATTTCCAGCTATTGAATTGCCTTCTTGAAATCACAGGCAGAGATGCACACAAACCTTAAAGAGAGCAGTGCTTAAGGAGAACATGGAAAACTGAATATATGACTGACAGCAAGGATTTTGTAGCACAAATTATAGACCAGTTGTTTTGCACTGCATGTAAGGGGTAATATTTTGCCCTCAGTACAATGACTCCTAGAGGCTTAAATAGAACCTGTTAACGGAAATATCATCTTTTGTTAACAGAGGCAGCTTCTTGTCTACTGTCTTCCTGCATTAATCGTGCAAGATGTCAGTAGAGGGAATGCAGCAACCCAGTGCATAGTCTGGCGTTTCTGCTAGTTCTTCTATCACTTGAATTTCTCTGTGCTCAGTTGATAAGAATCACATTGTCAGTGCTTTTGTATTCAGTACCTAATCCTTCCTGAAGTGTTTATCTGTTTAAAACAGCTTTAAATTTTCATTAAAACCAAAACAAAACCACAACCTGTCATTGGCAATATTTCTGTTGGTCGTGGCAACAATTTTTAGAGGTGACTAGCGAGTTTGAGTGGCTTAATTCTTGACTGCCCAGATTAAAACAACCTGTTCTTAGCACGCATTCTGAGCTCTGCATATTATTCAGCCCTTTCACGGTATCTCAAGTTATTAATCATAAATGGAGGCGTCCAAAAAATCCTGATCAGTTTTGAAACTCTTGGCCTCATTTAGCTTTCATAACAGCTTGTTTCTAACAAAATCTGATGTAGAGCCAAATGAAGTGTGTGTTTAAATGATCCCTTGCCTAAACTATCATGAAAATTTCAGATGGGATGAGAAGGAGGAATGCCACAGAGGGCAGCTTGTTGGAAGCTTGCTACTACTTAGAGACTAAAATAGTGTAATCAGCAAACACTCAGTCACTTTAATGCTTCTTCAGTGAAATCCAACTTTTTGTTTTCTGGCTTAACTATTCTCTTGCATTTTCCTTAGTCGCTCACACACAAATACTAGAATGCATTTTAATTTTGATGCACCTAGATTTTCCTATTTGGTAGGAACTATAATTAAGAACAGAATTAGGGAACTTCTTGATGAATATGATACATTTATGAAGAATCAACATGGCTTTGTAAAGGCTTCATAAATTGTTAAAGCTCTTTGAAGAAAACATGTGGATCAAGAAGATCCAGTTAGATTTCCAGAAGGCTTTTGCAAGGTCTTTCGTCAAACTTCCTGGAAGAAACTGAACTTTGTTATTGGGATGTTACAGAAGAAAAAGTCTATATGTAAACAAAATGTTGTTTATATGATAGGAAATGATAGGAAACAAAGTCTGAGAGTCAATGATTGATTTCTAACAGAGGAGCAAGGAGGCGTCAAATGAAATTGAGGAGGCAGATAGAAAAATGAAGTATTTCATACAGTACGTGGCTAAGGTGAGACCATCACAGGATGTTGTTGACACTAAAATTTAAATTTAGGAGGTTGAAATTTACATTTTAATGGATAAAAAATTATTAGACAGATTATTGGAATAGAATCCATCAAATATTATTAAACACAAGGATACCACTGGTGGCTGAGGATGTCACAAAGTTGCAAATTGCTGGAAGCTGGAAGAGTTTAAAAGGGAGGTGCTACTATCAGCCATCTTCTTAGACTCTTTCCTAGACACTTGTTACTGGCTGAAAGCGGGATAGTGGTCTTTGGTCTGATACAGCACAATTATCTTGTGGTATGTAATTGTTTAGAATGGTTTATCTCATTTCTGTCTTAATTTGTTTCCACTCCCCCAAACACACTTTCTTTGACCCAATGTGTTTTTTGTTTTTCTAGTTGATTGCTCACAGGGCCAAGCAACTTCCAAAGAGCTTTCTTCTGCTGTCCTGTTAATGTGCTGTGTGTCTTCATGTGCTGATAATCTGTAAAAACAGGATCCATTAGGAATTTTTAGCACTTTGAGGTAAGACTTTTTAACATGTCTCTTTACATTGCATGGAAGTTTGTGGGAAAAATTCAGGCTAGGTTTATCAACTGCATATACATTTAGACATCTAAAGGAATGACCTTCCAAAGTATATAAGTATTTAAGAATACTGCATGCTAGTGAAAGTAACTTCTGTAAGCGTTTTGCCTAATTACAGCTGGACACCAAATTAGGGGTTTTTTGCCTGGCTTAGAAGTCATTTCATCCCAAATTGAGAGAGAAGCATTCAGTTTAGCACTTTGTCATGGACTGGAAATTCTGTTTGAATTTCATGTCAAAGTCATGTTATGAAATATTTTATGACAGAAATGTCAAAATGAAATGTTTCACTACTTCTGCCCCTGAACAGGAAATTCGCTAATGGTCATTTTTAGTTAAATTTTCTAGTCTGTCAGCCAAGGAAGCAGAGGAGAAATTTAATCTGGGGTTTTGGTTTTGTTTTTCTTTTTATTCCCAGCCACTTGAAGTATACACTAGTCCTCTTTCACAAGAGTATTACCAAAACCAGGTTCTCAACACCTAGAGAAAGTTTTAGAGGATACTTCCATCACCCAGCAAGGATTCTTTGGGGTCTTATTTTCTCTTCATGTAGGTTCCCATCTTGTGAGGTACTGTCATCCTCAGCTTGTGTTGTACTAACTGCAAAATTGAGTAACAGACCTGCTTCTGTCCACACTCTCATATACTTCATCCAATTTAAAGGTTCATCTGCATCTTCTGGTCTCTTTGCAACCCCCAGCACAGTTTCCTCAACAAAGATTTTTGTAAAGTGAATCCACAAATAAATCAATGACTTGCCACCTGCTGGTTTTTCTATAGCTAAGATTTGGGGCTTAACAGTGAAAGTGTGTTTCCTTTCTTTTGTGATGGAACCAGTGACCTGTATTACTACTGTAGGTGAAATACTGAAATTTATTAAAAAAGGAGCAAGGTATGTGAAAATGGCTTAATGAGTAACAGATATGTAACCTAATCACTTATAATTAACAGAGTGAGACACTTGTGAAAAATCACCAGATTGTATTTTGGATTGAAAGACCCTCTTTCTTGCCAAATTGTACCTAAGTTGATTTCTTTCATTCCTGAAAAGAAAAATCAGGCCTGGAGACACAAAAAGTTAGAGTCCTTCACACAGAGGACTTATATGTCATTTATTTTCTTGTTGAGCTCCAAAGGCTGCCTATCCTTGGGAGAGTAGCAGTGGCAAACACTGGAAATGTTTATGTAGTTTGGCTACATCTTTAATGAAGTTAAAGGCATTGTACCCCTGAAAGGCTGATGCTGCCTCCTTGGAGAATATGTTCCAAACATTAAATACAATGCAGGAATGTAGTATATATTATGGCGAGCCATAAAAGCTGAAAAAACCCCTGCATTAGATGTTATTACTGGATTCTTTTTTGATGTTGGTTTTTAATATATGTGCTCCTATTTTTAGAGTTTTATTCTGAATCTTGTAATAGCAACCATTCCATTTTGGTATGAGGTCTTTTCTATTAACAGTGATCAAAGTGAAATATTTAATTTCAGTTAGAAAAGAGACACTTGAGATGAATGAGGTTCTGCTGTATTTGGAGAGTTGGATATTTCTGATATACGATCTGACTTACAAAGTTAGAAAATTAATTGCACAAAGCAGTTAATTTATAAACAGATAATAAAATAGCATTAGCATTAAAGGTTTAGAAAACAATTTTGAACCTCTTTCAAATACACTGCTTATAAATAATTCTTTGGTGTTTGTTTGGTTTAAAACCTAAGCTGATACATTGTTTTCTTAAGAACAAATGGAGATCTCTGAGTACTACAGAATTCAAGTATAGGGCTGCTTTAGTTAAATGCAAAAAAGCTTACTCTCTTTAGGTAGAAGTCAGGCTGTCTTTCTGCTTCTAATTTAGGCTGTTGATGTTCTCAAGAAGTTAACAAACTGAGCTGTCGTGGTTTACCCCCAGCCAGCAACTAAGCACCATGCAGCCGCTCACTCACTCCCCCCCACCCAGTGGGATGGGGGAGAGAATTGGGGAAAAAGAAGCAAAACCCACTGGTTGAGATAAGAACGGTTTAATAGAACAGAAAAGAAGAAACTACTAATGATAATGATAACACTAATAAAATGACAACAGCAATAATAAAAGGATTGGAATGTACAAATGATGCGCAGGGCAATTGCTCACCACCCGCCGACCAACACCCAGCCAGTCCCCGAGCGGCGATCCCCCGCCCCCACTTCCCAGTTCCTATACTAGATGGGACGTCGCATGGTATGGAATACCCTGTTGGCCAGTTTGGGTCAGGTGCCCTGGCTGTGTCCTGTGCCAACTTCTTGTGCCCCTCCAGCTTTCTCACTGGCTGGGCATGAGAAGCTGAAAAATCCTTGACTTTAGTCTAAACACTACTTAGCAACAACTGAAAACATCAGTGTGTTATCAACATTCTTCACATACTGAACTCAAAACATAGCACGGTACCAGCTGCTAGGAAGACAGTTAACTCTATCCCAGCTGAAACTAGGACATGAGTACAGAACTCGGTTTTGATTTAAAACCCCCCTCTCTTGAGAATTGTATTTCCTTAAGCAGTTTTTGCCTTGCACTTGCTTTGAACATTTCTGATGATTGGAAGCAGGCTTTCCTTTAGTCCTGTTTGTTCAGTCTTGCCATGTATCAAAGAAGCAGAGAATGAAGAAAGGGGGTAGATTGCAACCTATACAGTGCTCAGAAAAACTTGTCCTCTGTACTTTGGTATTATTCGAATGGTAGCTAGTGTAATACGTTAAAGGCATCTTTTGAAGATATTTTTGTTAAAGGGCTGTCTGTCTTTTTGTTGAGTCTCATACTTGGGTAGTTGACATCTATTAGTACATGTTATGTTAAAAGAAAGTTAATTCTTCTCTCAAACAAACTCTCAGTTTTTGAACATTAGGTTTGTTGAACTTTTGTCCCATGAGCACTTGTAGGTCAGCTGTTCAAGCCACTTTTCCTCCATGGAGAAAAGTAGTGTCTAGGACAAGTGTAGCGAATGCCTTTTCAATAAACAGAACTATCTCTCATGGCCTTGTCTTGTCAGCCCTCTTAATTTCCAGAGTAAGCTTTTGTGTTGTTGCCATGGGACTTTGAAACAGTCTGCAGGTAGAGAATGGTCACTCATAGACTTAAATCCATTTCATGAGGAACATTAACATTAAAGCATGTTAATTAACATTAATATGACTTACATGGCTTAAGACCTATCTGTGGGTTTAGCAGAGCTCTGGGAATAATTTAAAAGATGAGCTATTACTCCATTGGGATCTTGACTTCAAATCCACTAAAGGCAATGGGTGTCCTTGAACTAGCTAAGAAGGCTTTGAATCAGGAGGTAATTTCAGATCAACTTTCCTGGCTATCCCTGTGCTGTTCATTCTGCTTTGTGATGACTTCTTTATCTTGGGCTGTATATCAGTGCCATGCACAGCAAACCCCTTAACATCCCTTTTGGTGTTCTGGACCGTAAGGCAATGAGCCATGTGTTTTTTAGATGATCATATGAAGATTCAATCTATTTTTAGGGCAATCTTGTTGCCAGGAATAATTTATGGGACTTTTGATTTGAATGGTGGATTATGTGACAATGTAAATGCCTGAAATGGATACTTAAAAATATTTTTACTGACTTAATGTTTAACAGATTAACACCTCTGAAGTAGTTACATTTAAAAGCAGCTTTGTATTTCCCATATATTTTGTATTTTTCTCTGATGTCATTGGGGACCTTTAGGCAAACCACTAGAAACCATGACTTTGATTTCAAAGCCCCAAGTGAGCAATGAGTAGGTATAAATCAGTACATTTAATAGATGAACTGTAAGATGATGAAGAGACCACACCTAATGAATTTTATACAATCTATTTTGAACTTCAGTGCAAATATTTTTATTTCATGTTTAGTGTTCTGCATAATGTGACCCAATACCTTGACCTCTGTCATTCCAAGTGATTCCTCACCTAAGAGTTGAAAAGTGAATTGATTTTCCTTCAGTCATGTAATAAGCATATGTCTCTAGATCTAGCCTACATATTGACACATGTAAAACCCATTTAAATAAATCAAAGCGGGTATTTGGGTATTCTTCCATTTGCCTATAGGCTGATGGAAGAATAGATTGTTTTAATACCTCAGTTATTTATTTTGTTGGTACAGACAGACAGCCATAGAAATGATCAGTATCAGAAATGTTCTTTGGAAGAATCATAGGGGCTGTCAATCAATTGGGTAGCTTAATCATCAAATTAATTGGTTTTAGTAGGTTTAAATGCATGAATTCCTTTTAGAATGCATTTGCACTTTTAAAAAATTTACTCTTTAGTTGATTGCTTTTTCAAGTATTTCAGTTAGTAAATAACTCCACAGTATTTGGATTCGCACAAAAGCAAGGATGAAAAGGCCTAGAAGGATGTTTTCTTCAAAATTGTCTTTAATGGCTATACTTTCTTTTCTTTACCTAGATACAGCAATGATGGCGCATATGCTATTCAAGTGGATTCTAAAAGGACTTATTCTGTCTTTTCTGCTCAAAACTGCTCTGTCCCTAAACCCAGATGATCCAAATGTCTGTAGTCATTGGGAAAGGTAATGTATAACATGCCAATTTTTTTTTCATAGCCGTTTCAGATTTTTACATTTAAAAGGCAAAATAAGAGCCATAATTTGCTAAATACCACCCTGCCTCACAAAAGAACATGGATTTGCATGACAGAAATAGTACTTTTGAGTGACTTTGAGGAATTGGATCATCCCAGAGAATTGGCTCTAAAGCTGGAGTTATAGACCACATATCCCTCTGTTAGCTGTCTGCTCAGCAGTACTTTGGAAAGCTCCTCCATAGTTTCAGCTAGAGGACTGCAGAGGTGTGTTTTCATTTATCATGGAGAGACCTAGAGAAATGCTGGTCTTGTTCAATCTTTTTTTTTTTCTGGTTGTCAAGCAAGACTATTAAAGATTTCGACTAAGTTTTAAGCCCTTCCTGCTGCAACATGCATGCTTATTCTGTATGTCCTGAACTTTGTGGCTGTATCTGCCAAATCCGTGTCAGCATCAAAGAGTAGCTGCATGAAAGCACTGAGAATTAAAGGCCTTGGTAATTCTTGTTCTCTCTATTGTTACAGTGTCCTAGTCCTAAAAGTGGATCTGTGCAGGACAGTTCTGAGTACATAGAAGCCCACTAGCTTTGATAGGGTTCACATTCATGCAGGGTCTGTTTGCAGAGGCTAAAGTTCCTGTACTCTTAAGTTTAACTTTTGAAATTTCCAGTTCTGTTCTGTGGTTTAGTTCCACACAAATATGAATTACTGTACCCTTTAACAAAATAAACCCCTTAACAAGAGCAAAAATGGAATCATACTTTAATGGCACTATGTTTTGATTTTAGAGGCCTTAATTAGAGAATTAACTGTTTGTAGGTAATGTAACTGCAAAGCAAAAACCATACAGGAATAGGATTTTGCAGTCTGTGTTATGAGGTGAAGTGCATTCAGAGCACAGGAATAAAATATTGATTTTGTCTGAAGAAAGTCAGCAACCTAGAGACCCAATCAAGGAGAAACAAAAATTAAATACCAAAATTGATTTGTTGTACTGACCAAGATGACTTTGTTACTTAGATGTTAATAAATCAAAGGGAAAAGATTGTTAGGGCAATTGCTGGATAACAAACGGGATCATAAAATAATAATCAAGATTTGTGAGTGTTACTGTTTTACATTAATAATGAGCAATGTAAATATTTTACATTTTGGCATTAGTGGAAGTAAAAACATTACTTGTCAAATCCAGCAAACTGGTAGAGGGCAAAAGCAACATCTAGTAAAATCTTGGCTTGTCTAGGACGGGCATGATAAGCAGGGCAGTAATAGTCCAGTCTTCGATTTCAAGCCAATCACACTCTCCAAGCAAATATTTTGGTATTACCTTATGGGTTCAGTCTCACAGGGCTTAATCACATCAGCAGTCCCACTGATGAGAAGGAAATCACTTTGAGGATTAAGACAATCGATATAATGAATGACTTGGAGGATCTAATTCCTGGGTCTTGACCCTGCCAAGAATGATTTTGGTATCATTCTCCAAAGCTATTGTAGATCTGATAAAGTAGAGCTTGTTTCCAGATCAGAACCTGAGATTATGAGTCTCTTAAGCAGTGCACATACTTACTATAGGGCAATACAATGTTCTAAAATGACTGACACTAACAAGTCAATGAGATTTGTGTTCCTATATAATGTGAAAGGCCCAGACACTTTCAATGTAATCATAGTAAGAAATATAGTACCTGTTGCATGAATAAGTAGTGTTTTGGGAGGGAGATTGCTGAATTCTTAGTATCATTGGAGCTCTGTGATTTCTAATCAATTTGCTCAGTTTTTGTTTATATCCATCCATTTGTCTGAAGGGAGGTAATCCCATTCTAACCGTACATCAAAGTGTTCCAAATCTAGATACCAGTTACCTCAAGTTACAATTTTCAGATAGTTCTGAGGTTATTTCTGCTACAAATTAAAAGGATTAAATTTGTGCAGCAGAAAAATAAACACTCTTCAACTTTTACAAATGTTCCTATTTGATTGGTGCACCCAATATATAAAGTAATGATGCTGCTTCATCATAAAATGAAGTGTGAGCATCCCATGATGCTGGTAAAATGCAGCAGTGCTAAGTTAATATGAGCTCTTATTAGCATTGCAGAACACAAGCAAAAATTAACAGTCCTAGGCAGGAAGGCAACTGAGACATTTTAAAAACCATGAATTTTAGTAACATTTGTTTCTTTTCCAGAAGGGAATGGTTTATTACTCAGACTGAAATCTCTATGCCTATTTTAGTTATGGAGCCCAAGTTTGAAACTTTTCCAAAATTTTCAGGAAGAGCTGTGGTTGAAGAAAACCCTTTTCTGGTTTTTGGTAATGCCCAAAGTTTCTAAGATTATTGATTTAATTATTTTTCATGCTGGAGCTAGATGTATAGCATATACAGGGAACTGAAGATTTTTGTGTTGCAACAAACAGCCTTTCACTCTCTTTCTTTTTCTATTCCTAGCTATGCTGTGACAATACAGGAATCTTATGCTCATCCTTTTGATCAGATCTATTATACAAGATGTACTGACATACTGAACTGGTTCAAGTGCACTAGACATAGGTAAGAGCTAATCCCCAGAAATTTTAGTTTTATTTTGCCTTTTTATCTCCTCACATACCTTTTATTTATCCAAACTTTTGTGGTACTGTAATATAAATATGTATGGAAAGATGTATTTTAGTACAATACCCAGGGTGTTTGGCATTCTAGGGCATTGATTGAAGTAGAGAGATTTTTGCATGAAATTTGAGTGAGATTGGTGGTAGTCAGTCTCTTATGGGGCCATTCAGGAGCATGCTTCCTTGCCATTCACCCAGCCATGTGATTGGAAGTGTTTATTACATGACCAAACATAAGCAACTATCTTTTCCGAGTGATCAGTGCATGTCCAGGTTTATGGTAGGAAGTCCCTGCAGCTCCTAAATTGTGAAGAATCAGGCACTTGAGGGATAGCGATAATTAGAAATGGATCCATATTTGAAATACTGCACCCAAATCTGTACTGAAAACCAGGCAGAATGAGGATGGGTCCATTTCTAGCACTGAATGAAAGCTGATACCAAAGAGTTAATTTTTTGCAGGCTGCAAGATATCACTGTTATATTCGTTCTGATTCCAAGGAGAGAAGTATCCTAATAAACATCCACTAATATTCGCAATCTTTCAAGGGAGTTTTAGCAAGCTAATTTGTACCTTAACTTTCATGCATTCAGTAGCAAGAGGTTGTTCAACACCATCCCAGTCTGTCTGTGGGGTTTTGCTTATGTTACAATGTATGGTTACGATGTACGGAATTGAACAGAGATGCAGAGCTTTCTGGGCTGTTGTATAGATTGAAATGCAGCAGAGTAAATTTGAGCAATTTATCTAACATGAGGGACAACAGATTTGTTCAATTTAGGTAATTTCAAATAAACTAACATGAACAAAGCTCCTTTGAAGTGTTTGCTGTTAAATATTTTCTGTTAAATATTCCTTTTCTAATGTGGTATCATTGCTAATGCTATGAATAAGTCTAGAAAAGCTACAGAATGCTTAACACCTCTGAATTTTTGTGTACTACATATTGTGGTGGGGAAAACATGCTTTAAATACTGAACTGGGACTATAATGTCATTTTGCAAGGCATTGGAAGGGTTAGCAAGTAGAAAGAAATCACTTGGGGTTAACTTCACATTTTGTGTATTGAGAGCAGTTTCCATTGTGGTAATTTCTTGTGTAGCATGCTGGCACAGTGGTCTCCGCAGAAGATTCTGTTAATTCCATTGATGATAGCTGACCTTGCTGATATGCAGAAATGAATCATTTATTCTTGAAGAAGCTCCTTGCCCTTGCTTTAGGATTGGGGAAGTGTTTTAAGATAGCAGTCCCAGGAAGGGCTACGGTGATTGACTGTCATGAGTACTGTGTTTATAATACAAGTTATATTTCAAGTTTCAAAACAAGTATTGATTTTTTTTTTATTGTGGCTTTTAATATCAAAAGCTTTCATGCATTTTAAAATAATTATTGAATGCTATCCTTACTATAATTTAACACAAATATAATTCCAACAGTACACATGGATTTTCAATATTGTCAAATGGCTTTCTGTCTTGCAATTTAGAATAAGTTATAAAACAGCGTATCGAAGAGGACTGAGAACTATGTATCGGCGAAGATCTCAGTGCTGCCCTGGATATTACGAAAGTGGAGACTACTGTATACGTATGTACAGAGCTTTGATTCAGATATGACAGTTAAAAGTAATTTTTGGAGGAGCTGTAGACAAATTAAAGATGTATTGCAGTAGTAATATGACAGGCTGATTTTCAGAGCTGCTCAGAACCTTCGGAACCCACTGATTTTAGTCAGAATTACAGATACAGAACGTTTCAGGTCATTTCAGGTATGTGCTTGAAATGCTTATAGTAAATGCATATAGAAATGCATAAGTAAAATTTTGCTGAAATCATTGGGGAGGGAGTGAATCAAGTTCCTGAGTGCTTTCTTGAATCACACCTTACTTTGGGGAGTAATTTATGCAAGTATGACCTAATGTTAAAGAATTGGGGGAGCTGAGAACACTCTTAGGAATAAACTATTACATAGTTTAAGGAGCAGCGTAAAGTTTCTACCTCTTAACTTTGAAAGTTCTTACTTCCAGTAAGAACAGTTAAAATCTCACTGTGTTTCACATGGTTCCTGTCAATAATTTTGCTCTGTTTAAAGCTTCGCAAATGCCAGAAGAACTTTGTCCTAATTGCACTGTATAAATAAATAAAAAGCTCTGGAGTGTGTTAGATCAGTCCGAGGGGGACAAAAAGCAAAATGGATCTTTCAGCAACACCTAAAAGCATTGTTAATTAAAAATGTCCTGTATGTTAACGTCATGTGTTTTCAGTATTGCAGCTTTCTAAGTATTCAGAGACAGAACACATTTGCTACACTTTGCTCAAAAGGCGAGTGGAGCTGGGGATCTCTTGTCTATATCTTGTTAGAATGGGATTATGACACAAGAAAAATACAAGAAGGTTTTGATCAGCATCAGAATCCAAATTTTATTGACAAGTTTAGAATGCCATAGAATAATTTAAATGCGAACATGATACAAGTATCCAGCTAACTTTAAATATCTTGACACAGTGCTTTAAAGCTATTTCTATCTAGTTCTGTTGGTGGTTTTATCTGAGTACCTATATTGTACTTATATTGTAATATATGAGCACCTTAAAAACATGAATGGACCCTAATCTCATTTTAAATTACCTTTATGCCAAATGGTTACTTTAAAGGGGCTTTGGACTGTGAAAAATTACCAGCCCTTTGAGATAAGGCATTAGAATTAGCCTTATTTTACGGAGAGAGTAATAATTTGACCTTTTGAAGTGCGAAGTGCTGTTACTCAAGTCCTGAAAAACATTTCATGTAACCTATTGTCTTTGCTAAAATCCTTCCTATATTAAGTTTGTTCTTATCTTTAGATTTCTTAAGTGTCAATATCATTTTAGCAGTTGTTCCACATACTTTTATTATCAATTTGAATTTTGTTACTCAAAATCCTGTCTGGCACAGAACATATTTATTTTCACTTTTCTCTCTGCAATCTATTGATATTTTTATTTTTTATTTTTTAATTGGCATACTGGGTGCAACAACAGGACATCTCTGCAGACTTTCTGATTCTTTGAGGAATATTAACATTTATTTTAAAGTGCTTTTTTGTTAATATTAATACTCAAGAGTTCTGCTGCTGTCTTTATATTATGGAGAAAGAACAGCATACAGCACACACCCAAGTTTTGCTAATGCAGAACAGGCAGCAAGTATCCCATCAGACCAGGATTTTCATGTTTGACACAGTGCAGATAATACTCACACATGTAAACAACAGAGAGAATGTAAGAGTCAGGTCATTATCTGCATGGTCATAAATGCAAAGTGCATGCCTCAGGGACATTTTTTATGTATCCTCCTTCCTGGGAGATCTGAGCAGCAAGTGCAGCTGAGAGAGAAATGATGTAAAGGAAGAAGTTCTCAGTCATGATTGATAGATACTTGGTTTTATTGTTTTGATACCACAAGTAGCCACATAGCAAAAAAAAAAAACCAAAACAACAAACAGAACAACACACCAAAAAACCTCAAACAAAAAAAAACCCAGACAAAAAAATCTCATTGAAACTCTCTGACCATGCAACCAACAGTTTGAAGGCACAACATTATTTAGCTAATATGATCCTTTTCATGTCATCCCTTTTGTTTCTAACACATAAAGCTTTGGTCCCATTAGTTCTGTTTTGCTTTGGTTTTCCAGAATATGTTCCTGTGCCAACAAGCAAATTCTCCCATTCATCATTCTTTGCAGTCAGCAGTGAATTCCATTTTCATTCCTGGAGGCACGTCCCTTCTTTTGCCTCTTTCCTTACCTCCCCTTTCCCATTTCTTTCTTTTCTTTAAACTGGTATTTTCTGCTGCTTCCTAACAAGGTAGTCTAGTACTCCTGTCCCACATTCCTCTAGACATGTTCAGTGCCTTCTCCTTTAATGGCAGCTGCTACAAGAGAGAGGTCAGGAGACACCATCAAAATCATTCCACTTGCCTATGCTGTCGTAGGGTGCCATGGTTTGGAAACGAGTGTGCTTCCGCTAAGCCCCACTGACATGAAGGGAAGGAAGCTCCAGCCCTGCAGAGAAGGTTCTCCCCACTCAGCCAGCCCTTCAAAATCTATTCCATTAGCAATCATGGAAGCCACTACAACACGGGGAGGAGAGAATGCATCCCGCAGTGAGTCTGATGATCAAAAGAAAGTTTGATTAAAAAACAGTGTGTAGATTAAAGGCTAATTGGTTCTTCTTTCATTAATAGCAGTCCTTATTTCTTGCAAAAGTTAAATAGCTTTGTAATTAACAGTGACATGTTTAGACTAGAGAAGGCTGAGTTTAAATCTCTATTAATGACTGTTTCTTGGCTTTTAAAGCAGGAGTGAAGGCTTTCAGCTACTGTTTTGATCTTTTCCCTTCTCATTTACTATTTTTTAAAGGAATGTCAGATATAAGTTTTTATCTTTGTCCTCCTGTTGGGATTTACTAAATGGATTAGGTCTAATAAAATCTACCCTCAGCTCTAAATAATCAGGTTGACCCAGAGCTTCTTGCTCTGCCACTCTTTCTCTGGTGTCGTCTTTGCCATTTTGCGATCTATATATGCTACCGCCCCATAAAATGTGGGATTCAGGCACAAGGTCAAATAATTTAAATTGTTGACTGATAAGTTTTACATCTGCCCAGCCCATTAGTACTTAGGCTAAACAGTTTTGGGGTATGAAATTGTCTTTGTGCCTATAAAGGGATTGGAATATTTTTGGGTTGTAATGGTATTCAAAAGATACCACCTGAAAAATGCTGCAAATGCACATCTGCATTTTTTTTCCATTGATGTCTTAGAAATGGTTGCTACCATTCTGGTAGTTTTGCAAAACGATTCACCTTCTCTGAATGTTCTTACACGTGACATAGCTTTTCACTGAGCTGTCCCTGAAAACAAACAGCGTAGTCTGGGTAGTAAATCAGGGTAACTATGATTTACTGTACTTTGTATGCTAAGGTAAGCTTTTGGCAAAGCAAATGCATAAGCTGCAGAAAAGTCTTTTTTTGAACAACCACAGGGTTCAACTGCCCTTCAAGGTTTTCGTAAGGATGTTTTAAAATTATATTGCCTAGATTAGTATCTGTGGTAGATAAAGCTTCTCTGAATACTTTGCTGCTCAAAGAAAGAAAAAGAAAAGGAATATTACATGACTCTTTCATGATTTTTACCCTTTGAGTAGATGGTAATTGAATACTTCCCTTTAAGAATATGTCAGGTGGAAAGATCCCCTGTGTGCTAAATGGATACATTTTTGTCTGAGAGACTAATGCTTTGTTCAGTCTGTCCATTTTAATCTTATTCTTACACAACAGATTTATATAAAAGAGACGTTTCTTCTAGGTGACAAAGGGTCAGAGACCCAAGCATGAGAAAAGGAAGACGGGACTGCAAGCAGCATCTACTTATATATGACCTTTTGGCAGAAAAAAACAACCATGAAATGCAAAGTTGGGAAATCACCTTTCTTCATAAATTGAGATATTTTAGCTTTTAACAGTTTTCTTTTTCAGTCTCATACCTTACACTCTTTTTCTAATGTATAAATCTATGCAGTGTGACAGGATGTAATAATGACAGGATTAGTGATTTAACAATCTTATTTGCTGCCATTTATCTGTCATTCAAACCTGCCAAAATTCAGTAGAGTTACAGATTGACCATTTCATGGTTCTTTCCCTTCTTGGCCAAGATATTATTGATCTCAGACTGTTTCTCAACATTCAGCTTTCCACATTACAATTGCCACAACGATCATCAGGGCTCCTTGACTTTGATAAATCTTTTTCTAAAGAAATTCTTGGTCTCACTGGTTGAATCTCAATTTGTCACCTGGAGTGGTAGTTCACTGAGGCCAGAGGTTAGGGACATTATGATATTTTCATGTAGTTATTTACCCATCTTTCCAGGTAGCCTATGTCTGACACCTTTAATGAATTTCAGAAACAAATGAGGAATGTTTTGTAATAGCTGACCTGATGAAATTATGCAAATTTGGGACCTGATTCTTTTTCAGGATTTTAAATAATGTTTCATAAATTCTGTAATTCCAGTAGACACGCCAACTTCATAGTACCATGTATACTTTTATATTGTAGCAATATGAACACCCATACCTCAGGACTGTACTCAAATTTACAAGGCTGCATGGCTAGTGCAGTTTTTGTAATCTTTCAAAAGACTGCCTTATTGGAGCCATATGGCTAGATTGTTAAACATCTGTACCATAGGAGTAACAATTCCAAAGCTTCCTGCCATCTGGATGAATTACAATACTTGCAATTCAAAGCATATGTTACAACAACACACTGACACCACAGTAGAGTGTACTTATGATGAAAAGAGAAATAATAGCTTATGTGATCAGTGCAAAAGTTGTACACTCTTAGAAAATGTTGAATCAGCGGCATAAACTTCCTGAATATTCATACTGTTTGTTCATATGTCACATTCGTTGATTATTTTCACTTTATAAGGCAGGATCTCATTAACATTTTAGAAGAAATGTTGTCCCCCCCTTTTCTCACCTCAGTTTTAAATTCCTCATGGTGAGCATTCCTGTAACTTGAAAATATATTGTT